AAGAATGAGGCTGTCTAGACATGGGTGCTTTCGGTAGACTTAGATGGAGAAGGTTAGAGATATTTCCCTACCCGTTACCACAAAATATAAATCTGATCAATACGTATTCTGTATTGCATCATCATATGATTGAATTTCTGTTTCCTAAGAAGGGAAAAGAGCTTTCTTATAATTTGAGAAGGCTTGTTGTAACTGTTCCAAGGTGAATGGACTTGCAACCTTGACACTAAAAGGTTTTGAGGCAGAACAAACAAAATGTGCGGTTGATTGGATGGGAAGAGGAGATGAGCGACCAGGCAAGAAATCGAGGATGACCACTGATGTACAAAAACTAGAGCCCTGAGCTTGGGGGGCCTGCAGGCGGGCCTCTGTGAGCTTCTGCTTGGACCTAGGACTCTGGGGGCTACTGTACATCCATGTGCAGTGGTCGCTGGGTGGTCAAAGTGAATCCTGGAGAAGGTGCTGGGTGTGTGGCTGAGTCCCCGCACACCCTGAGAACCTTTCACCCTGTATTCAGTGACATGTGCTGGGTGTCTATCCTCCCCCACCCCACCCCACCTCCCAGCCATTTTTTTGATCACTTACTTTGTTTCCACCATTTTATTATAGAACATTTTAAGCATGTAGAAAATGAGAAGAATTTTACAGGGAAATGGTATGATGGGACAGAAGTGACAAACCTCTGAATAATTGATGCAGATAATTGCTCTCACGGAGGTGGAGCCCAACTGCTGCTCCTGGGGTGTGGGCTGCACACGGGGACACCTTCCTCAGCCAGGGACGTGTGGTGTGCAGCCCCGATGGGATGCGATGACAATGGTACTTGACCTGTGCGGTCCTCTTCCCTAAATCCATAGTCTCATTCTAACCATGAGAAAAACACCAGACAAATCCCAGCCACAGAAGATTCTGCAACCTGCCTGACCAATACACCTCAACCTCTGCCCGGCCGGTGTGGCTCCGTGGTTGAGCGTCCACCCGTGCACCAAGATGTCGCCAGTTCGATTCCCGGTCAGGGCACATGCCCAGGTTGTGGGGCCGATCCCCAGTGGGGGGCACGCAGGAGGCGGCCAGTCGATGTTCTCTCTCATTGATGTTTCTGTCTCTCTCTCTTCCCTTCCTCTCTCTAAAGTAAAAAAAAAAGCAAGTCTAGAAACTGTCACAGACAGGGGAGCCTAAAGGGACATGATGACTAAAGGTCATGTGGGGTTCTGGGTGGGGTCCTTGCCTAGAAAAGGACATTGGGGAACACTAAGGAAGTCTGAATAAAGTATAGGCTTTAATTAATAACTCATCAATGGGTCCACTGAGACAAAGGCACCAAACTAATGTAAGATGTCAATAACAGGGGGGGCAGGCGTGGCTTATGGGAACTCTCTGTACTATCCTTGCTATTTTTCTGTAAATCTAGAACTCTTCCTAAAAAACAAAACAAAAAAACCCAACCACATACTACCACCTAAATTTTACCATGATGATTTTACAATTGTTATCACACATCTGCCCCTCCGTCTTTTTTTTTTTTAATTTAACCTCCCTTGCCTATCCACTCCTTTTGCTCAAAACGACACTCGGGAAGCCCTGGCAGCCTGGCACACACCCACAGGGTCTCAGGTCTTTTTGAATTTGTCACCCTCATTTCACTAAGGATGCGCTGGTCCCCAGGCTCCCTGGCTGTTAGAAACAAGGAACTCTACTGCCACCCAGTGGACATTTTGAATTATAGCGTTGCGTGCAGGACAAGCTGGAGCAGTCTCTGAGCTCAGGCTGCACGTGAACCCAGGCCCTTCTCCACGGATCCCCAATTCTTACCTAGATCGGGACTTTTCCTAACTGTGCCCCAATTCCCAACTGTGCAATCATTTTGCAGGGTTATACTACACTTCTCAGAAAAGCCTTTTTTGGAAGGTGGAGGGAGCATGAGGGAAATGGCATGTTTCAGTTTTGATGACCACAAAGAGCAACTTCTGTGCTGTGGGTGTGGGCTGTCCAGCTGCTTTTGAAAGAGTCTAGAGGCTTCAGCTGGCTAGAGCTGGGGGGCTGGGGATACAGGCCTGGGTCTGGGCCTCAGGCAGCCGATGCTGTGGTCGGCAGTGTCCTTGCGGTGCTGGGCCACACGGGACCTGTTGTCAGTCAGGCCTTGAGGCACACCCGTGGCCACAGCCGTGACAGGGACAGGAAGGGTGCTCCCGGAAGGGTGGCAACAGTGTTTTGTACCATGTGGCCTCCTCTGTGTGGCTGACTATGGGCTGTTCATGCCTCTGGGTTAGGAGGAACAAAATGGGCACGTCTAGTTTGGGTTCCCCAGCAGAGCCTGGGACACGGGTTATGTGCACTTGATCTCAGGAAGCCCTGGTACTGAGAGATATGAGCCAGGGGAGGGAATCGGGTAAAAGATGTCACTAAGCCATGAACGCGGTGTCCTCGGAGCTGTCCTGCTGGGGAGTACCTATCCCAGCTGGGGTCCGGGGCACCGGGGCAAGGCTGCTCCTGGGGACATCAGCTGCACCTCGGGGCCCTGGGCCGTAATAAACAGCTTCCAGAGGCAGCTGTGTATGCCAAGGGGGAGGGGCAGGGCACTGCCAGGTCCTTAGTGTGTTCATGTGATGGGGCTCAGCACCCAACCATACTCACCCACTCACCCCGGTGGAGGGAGGTCCCAGGTGGGGCTGCTCGGCGGCTGGGGTGAGCGCAGGGCCACACGGAGAGTCAGCTGAGCACAAGGCACTGCATGGGTCAGGAGGGGCCTCATCGCCTTCTCCAGGCGAGACGTTCTATTTTTTTAATCCCCACCCGAGGACATTTTTGCATTTATCTTCAGATGGGGTGGGGAGAGAAACATCAATGTGAGAGAGACACACCAGGTGACTGCCACCCACATGACCCCAACCAGGGCCAGGGACAAACTGCAACCGAGGTACGTCCCTTAGCAGGAACCGAACCCGGGTCTCTCCGGACTGCAGGCCGATGCTCTAACCACTGAGCAAAACCGGCCAGGCCGCCAGGTGAGACTTTCTAAAGTGGGGAGATGCAAAGGTCTTTGGTGTGTGGAGGGGAGTGTGCTAGGCAGCCACGGAGAGGGGCGGAGCCAGCTGGGGGAGTCTTGTCTGGAGCTTCCCCTGGATGGCCTGTGGCACTGTCCACCGCTCCGGCCGAACCGCCACCCAATGGAAGACCCAGCTATGGGAAGCTAGAGTGACACCGTGTCATTTCCATGGACCACCAAGTATCTGGGTGACAGAAATGAATTATCAGGGCCCTGGCCAGGTCTGCTCAGTGGTTAGAGTGTTGGTCCATGGACTAAAGGGTCACGGGTTCGATTCCCAGTCAAGGGCACATATCTGGGTTGCAGGTTTGATTCCAGGCCCCAGTCAGGGTTGTGCGGGAAGCCACCAATCAATAGCTCCCCTCCTCCCTTCCACTCTATCTAAAAAGATCAATGGGAAAATATCCTTGGGTGAGGATTAACCAAAGGAAAAAGAAAAGAATTGCTAAGGATGGGCGTTCCGGTGAGCTAGAGCTCACTTGTGGAGAATGTTGAAAATAAATCTTTGCCCTATCTCCACTGTCTCCCTGAAGTGCTACCTGGAAAACGTGCACGAACTGCAGAGAACACTCCGCTCGGACCGGGGGTCCTCGTACTTGCCCTGGGTCCCCGCGATGGGCCAGGCACCTGCCCTCAGCCCGACGACCGAACAGGGACCCGGCATCAGCAAGGTCGCTGTGGGTGAACGCGGCAGCTCCGCCGAGCCCGGCGAGGCACGGCCCGTGCGGCCCCCCGCCGCTCGCAGGGAGGACCTGGGAGGAGGCCCCGAGGTTTGCGGGCTTCCGTCCCTGTGGACTGTCGGAGGACGGCAGGCTGGCCGGAAGCAGCGTCGCGGTGGAAGCTGCTGGTCCTCCTGGGAGGAGGGCTCCAGAGGGAGGTCTTCCCTGGGGCTGCTTTTGGGAGGCCGCCGAGGTCACTTTCGGTTACAGTGTGGGGGTCTCACCTTGTCCGTCACACCTTCCGGAAACCAAACGCTCGGGAGGCCATCAGGCCCTGGGAGATGAGGTAAAGACACAGACATGGCCGGAGAACCCCCCATACACCCCATCCGAGGGGAGCGTTCTCAGGTGGGGTGGCTCACCCCTAAAGTGGCCCGAGCCCCGGGACACACGGCTGCGCAGCATGGAGGCCCCCCAGAGCCGTCCCCCTCCTTTGACCCTTACAGACACGGAGGGCCAGGTAACAAGCACACAGTAGAGTGGCCGAGGCTTGGTCACTGGTGTTTTGGCGAAGGGAGGGGACACCTGATTGGTGACTGCTGGGAGGGGAACTCGTGCTGCAGCATGAATCCAGCCCCCCGTGTGGCCACTTCCTGTCTGTCCACCTCAAGGAAAGGGCAGGGCCCCGAGTCCCGGCCTCAGGGGACCCTGCCATCTTTGGAGAACTACAACATGCAAGTGGACTGAACCACCTGGAAGGCATGTAAGATGCTGTCAGACGAAGTGTTCTTGGCGAGACACGCCCCTTGCCATCACTGAGGGCGGGTCCCTCTCATGGTGGGGTTGGCTAAGAGCCGAGGGCAGGCTGGCTCCCTGCGGCGGCCTGGAGGGCACCTCCGTCCAGGCGAACACCTGCTCCGGGAGCTCTGACCCCCGGCGCAAATGCACTCTAGCCCCTCCCCAGTACTCCTGCCAACTGCTTGAGTCCGGCCTCAGAGCGTTCGGAGGAAAGGGCCGCAGGAGTGAAGACCAAGGATCCACTCGCCGAACGCCTGGTGTTGAAGTGATGCTGTGAAAAGTCGGACAGTGCTTCACAGAGGAGGACAGGGCGGCGGCCCGTGCCGCACGTGGCAATCATGCTGACATCCCAAACGCAACCCCGAAGACCAGAGACCAGCGAGGCCGTGTGCGCGGTTTCTGGCTAGTCTGTGGCGGTGTCCTCGCGTCTCCTGAGGGGCTGTTCACAGGGACACAGATGCAACCGTCAACAAGACATGCAAACATGAACATGCTCTTTCTCCAAAATTTTATTTTAATTTAAATTACAGGGCCAGCCATGGTCTGACAAGAAATCCTTTTCGTCAGGAGAAAGGAGATGCTCTCATGGTGGTGGTAACAGGTGTGTACATCTCCACCTTTTTCAGGGTTAAAAATCACATGGAGTAACTGACTTATGTAAAATCAAACCTTTAGAACACAGAGAGAAACACTTCCAGCATAAGAGTTTTGGTAACATGAATATATTAAATGATCATAACTTCAAATGCAACTTTTCAACTTTGAATGTTTTCACATTTTTGTTTAAAAACAAAGACAAAAAACCAAAACTACCCCCAAATTTTAACTATGTCCAGATTCCAATGCGACAGGAACACGTGGTGTCTGTGGCGTCTCCAGTCCGGGCCCAGCTTGGCCGGAACCTTCCTCGCACGCGGCACAGCTCAGCTCTCACGGCCAGACCCCGGCGCCCAGCTCTGGACACGGGCGCAGGTCTCACCGCGGCCAGGCCTGCCCCTCACACCTGGGTGCCCTCCCTCCAGGGCGCCTGGCCCTTTCCCTGCCCCGCTGGGAAACACGGATGGTTCCACACAGGCTTTGGTAAAGACAGCCTCAGGAAAACCAACTATAATGTCGACTGCTGTTGAATTAAATAGAATAAAATACATCTAGGTTTTCTGGAGCTAGTTTCCTGACTGGTGTTCCTAGGAGGAGGTCCCGCGACCTGCTGAGGTCCCCGGGGAGTCCGTCTCAGGCTGGCAACAGCTCCATCGGCAGGAGAGCTAGCGAAGGGTGATCGTGTCAGGCACAGCCATGCTGGGTCCGAGCGGCAGACTCTGATGGCAAGTGTTAGTTGTGATCTTTGTATCACTAAGATGAACAGAAACCATTCTAACTTTACACAGACATATCCTAGGAGACGCTGTTCTGCCGTGGTCACAGTAACAAAAAGTGGTGCAAAATCAGTTCCCTTTTAAATACTGATAATTTGCAGCATTAGGAATAGGACATTAAAAAAAATAAATTTCCCCACAGGACACCTATGACTAGGAACTCTCCTTTTCCTAAGAGAAGCCAAAGTCGTAGCGATTCCGTTCCACTACCGCCGTGCTGACGACTCACCTAAGGAAAGGTGCTCGCTGAGGCTCCCCGAGCAGCAGCGCTGACTGGCACCCTCGGGGTCACTCGCAGACCCAGCACGCTCGTGACTCGTTTTAGATGAATAAGGCCAGTAATATGCAGGAGAGAGGAGCTGAGTCCCAAGTCTGTATTGTACCCTACTGATGGCACCCCACTAGATAACTGAATACAAACGATTGGTTTACTTTTTTCTTTTAATGCTGTGATACTTATATGTTAAATCAGCATTTTCATGTGATCTGAAGTATTTCAATTACATATGAGCATTCACTTTTTTTTTGCAAAAACTCAATATTAGGTAATAGTTACATACTAATACAATAACATTCCTCTGCTGTACAAATTAAATCATTTAAAAGAAATGAGCATTCTAAGAATTATATACAAAAGAAACCTGTAAGCATTGTTGCAATGAGATGCGAGGTGTCCTTGCTAGTTCTACTGTTTGAGAAGACCTTCGAAAGGGAAATTAACAAACACCTTCCAATATATCCAGGTTTACACATCTCAAGAAAATCAAATGTCAAAAAATTCTAGAAAGCTGTGAAAAGCGTATATACATTTTCCTTATGACCTTATGAAGCTTCACACTTGTAAGAAGTTGCTAAGTTTCAGTATCAATTCATTCGCATGTCAACTTCATCCACCCACAAGCTCACACTGTGGGTCCAGTCCCTGACCTCAAACACAGTGCTGCGCCGTCCCCCTGCAGCGAAGGCAGACAACTCTCCCCAAGGGCCCACACCTGCATCTCTAACAAAGATAGACACAAGCCTGCAGATTTAATCTGACCCTACCAACGCCTTCCAACCCTCCGCCACACTGTCACCCCGACATTTGCCCTCTGGAACCTAGCCGTGTCCAGAACCCCTACAGCAAACAGAGTCTCTGAATTCTGAATGACACAAAGATCAAGAAAAAGTCCACGTGTGCTCTAGTGTGCAAGAAAGCAGCAGCTATGCTCTCCAAGTTGGACTAAAAAAAAAAACAAGGTAAAATGAAAAACCGTTCACTTAACAGCAGATTAGCGTAGCGCTCCTCATGGATCGGTGAGAGTTGCCTGATGCTGACGCGCTAACAGCAGGTGCTGGGTTTGGATTTAATATTTCGGGTGTTTGTTGGGAGTTAGGCTTCTTGCTGAGCTGGTCTCTTCAAGTCCCTGATCTGTTTGACTAAATAGGTCTTCTCGTCGTTAAACTGCTCGTCCTCGGTCCTGTCGTTCTGGAACTTGCTGAGGAACTCTATGAGTTTGGTCTGGTTCTTGAGGAGGATGTCTAGGATGGGCTGTGTCTTGTTGGGGTTGGCAACAAACACCTGCCGGACAGAAATCAGCATCAGCCACAGGGAAAGAACAAGACACAGCGCACACAGGACACATCCCATGCCCCCTCCCTGGGGCATGTGGTGAGGTCGGATAACTTGGTCAGAGGTTTGTGTTTTGGAAAATCTTATTTCACAATTTGAAAATTAAAAATAAAACAAAAAACCCCAAATTTACATGTTTTAGCACAAAAAGGACTGGTCTGTTCATTCATGCTCTGAAACTGAGTATTTGGTATTAAATATAGATGCTGATTTTAGGATGAAATGGGCAGAAATTATTCCTGGGCACAAAGGGCCAGAATGGATTTTGAGAACAGACCCTCCACGGAAAGCATTAAGACATGGGTGACATTACCCCTTACTCTGTGACTAATACTCTTCTATGACAAGGACAAATGGCACTCCTCTGTAAACAAACTTACTTTGTTTCCAAACTGAAATGGTTTGCCCTGTTTCTGGGTCTATTTTTTTGTTTAAATGCTGTACCATGCAAACATGAAAAGGAACGAAACTGAACTGTATCACTAAGGTGACCGAAGTGAGGCTAATAATATTTCAGAAATGTGTTGACGAAATGCGATGAATGACTTCAGAAGCCACGGTCTGTGGTTACACTACCTTAAAAACGTGAAAGGCCTCAAACTGGATGTTACGACTTTTGTCTCGTAGCAGGTTCATCATTAATTTGAGGTTCTCAGGTTTACTGATGTATTTTGTCATAATTGTGAAGTTGTGTCGGTCTAATAATAGTTCACCGAGAAGCTGAGAAGACATTTAAAGAATTAACATTCAAAGGAAAACATTAACATTCTAAGGAAAATCAGTTTAAAAAATAATTCAATGTAATCATCATCACCAAACACAGAGAATTACTAGGCACTCTAAAGATGATGAACTGAACTATGACCTAAAAGTTATAAAGCACCTGCCGCCCGCCCTGTGCTGAGCCCGACACTGTTCTCTGAGATGGTTCAGGCACATCTGGCCCCAAACCTAAGACATCAGAGCCTGCCTACTCTTCAAAGATGCATGTGTTCTCTTACCAAAGAGAAATCATCAAAGAAAAGTGTTCAGAAGAGACGTTATTGAGAATTCCCATTAACTAACCACAAACCTTAGCTTAACTAAAACTTCATTTTATTACTTTAAAATTTTATTTATAGGACAAAGAATCATGTCCCAAGTTTTCCATACACTAACTTCTACACATGCCACTATCATACCTGATTGAGAAAGGTTTTTTTAATCCTCATCCGAGGACATTTATCTTCAGACAGAGTGGTAGGGTGAGAGGGGGGAAGAGAGAAACATCGATGTGAGAGAGACACATCGACTGGTTGCCACTCACACGACCCCAACCGGGGCCGGGGACAAACCGCAACTGAGGTACGTGCCCTTAGTGGGAACCGAACCCAGGACTCTCTGGTCCATGGGTCGACGCTCTAACTGCCGAGCCAAACTGGTCAGGGCCATAAAGATTTATAAAAATAAAAATGTTTCTGTTCCTTCTTCAGCCAAGTATCCTGAAGATACTCCAGTTTTTCCTTAGTGACTCCTCCTCACCAGTAACATCAATCAAGTGAAGAAGACACCTGTGCCTTCAGGGCTCGCTGAGTGCCAGAGGCTGAGTGTGCGCTATCGGCCCCTGCTTTTTCAGCTCTATCAGCTGCCGCTGGGTAGTGCCGCTCTCTCCTGGAGGCCAGCAGTCAGTCCCTGCGCCGTCCTGCCCATGCCCAGTGCAGGCTGAGTGTGCGGTGGGGCACCTGCAGTGCGGCGGGCCAAGCTGCGGCCTTGTGGACAGAGCGTGAGCAGAGTGGGGGAGGGACGGGCCCTGGGCCTCCGGCCTGAGTTAGAATCCGGGCTCTGCCCCTTGTGAGCTACGTAACCTCAGGCCCCTCAGTTCACTGCAATGGACGGCTCGGGCCCTGTTTTGATGCAGAGCAGCCAGACACGTCCAGTCCTCAGTTTCACTGCTCCCCCTCCCCCACGGCAAGGAGACAACACCTGCACTGTCTCCATCTCACTGCCACGATTCTAAGTTTAAAAAATATGCTTCAGAGTCTAAAACACTGCCCTGCGGACGGAGAAAGCTCTCTCCGAGCCCTGTGTGCGGCACTCGGGTCCTCTGACTTACCAGGCGGGCAGTGCCGAGTGGGCCGCTGCTGAGCCCGCCTTCCCACGACAATTCTGACCGCGGACAGATGACTTCCCCGAAAGGTCTGACACCTACATACTAGCACAGTTCCCTTTCCCCGATCAGATTAAAACCCAGAGTGAAAAGAAGGAAACTACATGACATAAAGGCCTGTCCTACCTTGAGTGACTGTCTTTTTGTCACATAATTTTCTGAATGAAGTAACTTCTCATATTCACTGAAGAACTAAGAAAAAAAAAAACAAAGCACATGTCAGTTATGTACTTACTTGTTTTGTGAAGTCTGGGAGATAATGTCATCAAGTCTGAGTGGAAACTCTTAAGACCATGAAGGCATCACTGCCCACGCTCACCTCCTCCCGTCTGCCCCTCCCCTGATGCGCTCAGGCTCAGGGCAACACCCGCTGACACCTCTGTGAAGAGGGCTCCTGGGACCGATGCCCTCCCAGCTCTAGACAGGCCCAGGTACTGCGTAACTCTGGTCCTCTTCTGTCACCCAAACTCGTGTGCACGGAATGGAGCTCCCTCCCCTGACTGCTTCCTCACTGCCGAATCAGCTGTCATTTCTTGCTGTTACATTAGAAAATTCATATTCTTTATAGGCGACAACTCAACTAGTCCAAAGCAAACACAAAGAGAAAAGTTACCTGTTCTTTCAATGTAACGAGAAAAAATAATTAAGAACAGAAGAGGGAAGAAATTCAGCACTGTGTTAAATCAATACACGTCCTAGAGAATGTAGGCCTTGGGCTCAAACTTGAATAACGGGAGGGATTTCTTTAGAAAGGAAAGGAACTCCTGGGGGAGAAAGGGGAAGAACAGAGCAGAGTAGAGACGTGGAGAATGCAAAACGCTGCAGACGGAAGAACAGATTTACAGACGGGTGCTCACTAGCAAGAACAATGGCACCAAAATGGTGAGGAGCAGAGGCTGCATTAAAGCAGGGAAGCAGGAAATGGAAATGAAGGGCACCCAGGGGCCAGACTACATTTCAGAAAGTTAGTAGAGAAGGCCAGCTAGTTTTTGTTTTTTTTTAAAGCCTCACCCGAGGACATTTTTCCATTTTTTGTACAGATAGAGTGGGAGGGAGAGAGAGAGAGAGAAACATCGATGTGAAAGGGACACATCGAGTGGCTGCCACCCACATGACCAACCAGAGCCGGGGACAAACTGCAACCGAAGTACATGCCCTTAGCGGGAACCGAACCCGGGTCTCTCCGGACCACAGGCCGACGCTCTAACCGCTGAGCCAAACCGGCCAGGGCAAGGCCAGCTAGTTTTAAGACACGCACGCGCATTCACACATACATGTATTTGTTTTAGTTTTGACTACACTGGTTTGAAGAGGTCCCGTTCTGTCCACTAGCATGATGGCCGGGAGCGGCACTGTCCTGAGGCTGCACTGGCTGCGGTGGGGCAGAGGGCGTGCTCTGCCATCTGTCCACGCGGAAACGCTTTGTGCCTACGCTTTGTGCTGGGGCTTCAGAGGCGTCCACCTGTGGTTTAGAGGAGGGGTTGGCAAACTATGGCTCATGGGTCAGATCCAGCCCGCTGCCCATTTAAATACATCAAGTTCTGCTGGGGCACAGCCAGGTTCACTGGTTTGCTGTACGTGAACGTGTTCTTGTATTTTCATGGCTGCTGTTGCAGCAGAACAGACAGGAGCTGACAGACACCCCATGGCCACGAAGCCTCAAACATTTACTCTCTGGCCCTTTGCAGAACAGGTTGTCTCAGCCTTGGGTTAGAGCTGACCCAGCACTGCCCATGCACTGTTTCTTGTGCTCACCTCCAGAAGAAGGAGGGTGGCTCTCTACTCACTATGGAAGCAAGTCAGCATGCTCTTCGGAAAAGGCTGCCTTCCTTCTCCTCAACTGATTGTCAAACTCATCACCGAACCACCTGGAACTGCCTTTCATTAGTAACATGGAACACGTACACCTCAAGCTCTTGACAGAAAATCCAAGCTAAGAGTTTTCTGCTACACAACTCCTAGCTGCAAGAAATCGCTCTCACGCAGCCCTCCAGACGCGCTAGGTTCCGTCCCTGGACTAGGACGGACAGAGCACAGGCACTGTTTGGGCTCCCCAAAGACCTGCTCCCAGGGGACGCACTTCGGCTCGCACCTTACAGCACGGCCGCCTCGAGGGCCATGTCTGCTCCGCGACACTGTCACCTGTTCCCCTCTAGGAATGCTGAGAGAAATGTGTTTCAGGTCCCAGTGCTAAAAAAGGGCTGCTCTTTTGAGCAACAGGCATCTACTTTGCTTTACAGAGGCTGTAATCTTTTAATTGTTTTTTTTCTCTCCTCTATGCTTTGATCAGAAAGCGCAGAGCCAAGTGCCCAGGACTTTAGAGCACTTGTTTTGTTGTAAAAACCTCACCTCTGGCTTAAATTATCCACATCACCCTACCTCCCTCAGATCTGAGTGTACTCCAGACATTTCTGTTGGCTGTCTCACCAGACGTTTTCTAACATCCAGTTAACCAATGTCATCTATTAATAATATGTAGGAAAATCTTTTACTGCGAAATAAAACTGATGCCACTGTTGGCAGTAAACTTCTTGGAAATTGGTTAGTATGTCTCTTTGGTAGGCTTTAGGTTAAGACACTGGCATGTTAAACAACTCTTTGAGACCAGGCGGTAATAACAATAATACAGCTAGTGCGTATTAAACGTGGCCAATGTGTGCGGCAGCACTGTCCTGCCCTTGACACACGCGTTCTTACTTGATCCTCACACCAACCCAGCAGGCAGGTGTACTGTGAGCCTCTTATGTGGCTGGAGATACTGAAGACACAGAGGGTGAACGATGGCAGTGCCCAAGGTCTGGGGCACACAGTGGGGCTGGGACTAGAAGCCAGGCTCCAGGCAGTCTGGTGCCGAAGCCCACAATTCTAAGTTCTGTAAAAAGACACCGATGAAATGATCACGATGCCACTTTAAACACACAAACACACCCATATCCAAATACACAAAAGGCAGAAATAAAAGTAAATGACCAGCAATGTTTACGCTATTTATGAGGCTACTTATGAGGGACTTAGTATGTACCGTGCATTGTGTTATGATGTCACTGGGAGTGGGAGGGAAATACAGGAAAAAAGGAACATGAAAGAATTAGAAAGCATAGGTTTTGATTTTTTAAGACTTTTGTAAGATTTTATAAGAATCTTAAAATTTTGTTGAAGAACAAAGTGAACACTGAAGATCAACAATATCTAGGATTTCAGAAATTCAAATGACTAGTGGAAGAATGAAACCTGAGCCAAATCCTGCGAGATAAATAGGATTACAAGTGGAGCACTGCTATCACGACTTCTCTAAGAGCACCTACGAGAGGGCGTGTTAAACTCTACGGCACAAGGAAGTGCTTGCGGCGGCGTGGAGAGCAGAGCCGGCACCTGGAGGAAGAGAACACCTGACACCATGGCCTGAGGCTGCTCTGACGGTGAAGGGCAATCAGGTTATCAGCGCACTGAGAATTGTGTATGAACCCCAGGAGGCTCTATTACCAGGAAGTCTGACACCAATCCCTACGCTGGAAGGACCTCACAGTGGGGCTAGTCCAACATCCTCATCTGAGAAGGACGGACGGACAGACCTCTGGTGGTGACAAGGTGTCAGCGGCAGAGCAGGAGCAGAACCAGCCCTGCTCCCGGCTAGAGCCCACCTCACCCTACCCGCTGCCGTCTCCCTCTCTCTGTCAGCAGCACGAATGTGAGCCACTGACGGGAAGGAGGCTTAGAAAGTAAAATACTATTTTCCTTTGATCTCAACTGTGTATCATCACCAATATGCTTTACTTTCCTCTTCTAAAGCAAGAGAAGATCCAAAGGGCAGCATGTCAATCAAAAAGATACAAGCCTGCTTCTGACCGAGTAACACTATGTATCTCTACTCAGTGAGACTATTATGGTGCCATCTTAAAACTTTACAGACACACAGTCAACATTCTGGTACAAAATCTAATTTAAATCTTTCATTTCTGGTAAGAAAACTTAAAATTTGCTATTTTAAAATAGTATTTCATATACTTACTCTATCATAATGCTGTTCCAAAAATTCTGCACTGAGCAATTTATGTCTTGTAAGTAAATCCTAGAAAAAGAAAATATACTGTTAAGAAGTTGTTTTGCATTCAGGTTCTTTAAGAAAAAAGAATCCTATAACATTTCATGCCATTTTACCTATTAAAACTATTGTTAAAATCATTACACTTAAATTGAGCATGAATTGTATTGAACATGTTGATTTTGTATAAGAGAAGATAAAATCAATACTCTGACATAGTGATTTAATGATTATGATTAGCCACACATCTATAACTCTTAGAAGGAAACATTTAAAAACAAGCATACAAGGCAATGGAAATATATATTCAAAGAAAGAGAATAAAGAATTGAAGTGAAATAAAAGTAAACAAGTGCTATAAAAGATCAAGTAGAAAATGCTCCTGTTGGAGAAAGAAGACATTTCTTAATTAGACGACGTATTAGAGGGTCCATTTCCTTCCTTCTGAATTCAACTGCATTCAGTTTCATACCTAATGCAATCTTCTGTAGAGGTAGAATGTTTCTAAAAGCCATCATTTTTGAAACATTAGCTCCTAAGTAAGCAGAATAACACGCAGAAATGTAGAAACAAAAATCAGTAAGACCTCAAGTCAATGACTAGCCTTGGTCTCACCAGGTGGGGAAAAGCAATGGGAACATGCGACAACAGGAACGGCTAGTCAAATTTGGTAAATAAATGAATCAAATACCTAGAGCCTCCTACCGGACAGGATGGTGTTAATAACCCCTTTCTAAGAACCAACTTTCTTCATCTTGTCTTCTTTGCTGTTTCTGTTTGAGTTACCCAGGGTTGCAATGAACTAGTGTTTCCTAAGTATATCCAAGTGCCATGGAAATGGGAAACGCTTTGAATAATGTCCCACAGTCAAACCGCGTGGAAAGCACTATAGCTCTGGTTGCTTTGTGGGGCTCCATCAAGCAGGAGATTCTGCAGGGAGCTGTCACCTGCTTTGTTAGCACCCTTCCCTGAAAGGCCTCTACGGCATACTGCCCCTCTCCAGGTACCTACTCCCTTCGGACCTCCACTCATCACTACCACAGGGAGCCCTTCCTGACTGGCCACCAACATGGAAGCATGGTCACAGGTGAGACTTCACATCTGTGAGATTATCTGATTAATGTCTCATGCGAGACTGCACATTCCGTTAACCTGAGGGTCATGTCTATTTTTAATCTTTGAATTCCCAGCACATATAAAGTCAGTGCCCAGCAACATAGTAAGAGCTTAATATTTAATAAATGAATGAATGAACCAACAACATCAGGGAATGTGTCTGGGAAAATGTCATATAAAGCAAGGTTCATAGTATGCTTTTAAGAAGGCTTCTAATCTCACCCCAAAGATTTACAAGTGTTTAAACTGCTGAATATGGTATGTATTGTATGCTCAAGAAAGACCTACCCAATTTATTCTAAATCCCCCTTAGGGATTAAACAGGCAAAATGAGAAAACCTGGAGTTTATTCTGAGTACTCCAGAGTGTGGTGAGAAAAGCTATGAGGCCCCACAAAGGGAAGGGGGAGACGCAGGGTAGAACTGGTGTTACCTCAGCATGTCATGGGCCGGGGTGGGGGAGAGGAGCACGGCGATGTAAGGGCATGTATCAGGCATGCTTGTTAAGAGCACTTCCCTCCTGCTTAACGTGCTGCTGTGGTCTGTTTACCGGGCAGGGGTCTGTCTGTACGGCTCACTGCTGAACCCCACACCTACAGAACAGCGCCCAACACAGGGCAGGCACCGACAGACTTGTGGAATGAACTGAATGCACACACACAAGGAGAAGGTAAGGGATTGATGAGTCAGGATCTGTACGAGCCTGGGCGTCGACCTTGGTGTGGTACATCATTCAGAGGCCAGTATGAGGAAGCACCTGGAAGGACCCGGTGCTCACTGCTCGGTCCTAGTCTGACCCGGACAAGGCCAGAGGAGGGTCTGCGAGACGGCGGCTCTCAGGAACAGGCAGGTAGAAACAGAAAGTACTGCTCTAAAAAGCAAAGGTCCTAAACACGTTGTGCCAAAGACTGACTGCAGGTCTGAGGAAGGGGACTACGCTCTGAGGCTGTACCTCCAGTAGGATCAAGAGGCTCACAGTTAGGCCACCATGAAAGGGGGGCTGCCCACATCTCCCCATAGAGGGGAGTCTACCTGTCCTCTGGTTCAAAGAGAACATGAAACTCAGGACAACACTGCCAATGTAGGAATGGAATCTCAATGGCCTCGGAGGAGGACAGAAGGGGTGCTCTGGGACTACTGAAGAGGAGCTGGGCGCCGAGGCCCTACGGGGTGAAAGCCCTGTTAAGAGGGGCCATGCCAGGGCAGGGCCTGGAGGGGGCAGTAAAACTGAGTAGGAAAGGAGAAATTGCTGAGTCGGCGACCCGCAAAGTTTATAGGGTGCATGTGGTCCCAGACCGCAGAGTTGCTGGGCTGGCCAGCAGGGGAAAAAGAACAGGATTTCTCATTTCCCACCTGTCTTAAATTCCAGCACACCCAAGGTCCTGGTGTAACCTGGAGAAAGGTCAGGAATCATCTCCCAAATCCAGCAGATTAAGCAGCCAACTTTTAGTGTGGGTTGAATTAAAAGATTCCTAAAAATCATGTAAGTTTGGGCCCCAAATATCATGTAATAAAGATGGCCCTGGGATTCCAGAAGACATGTGCTAAGCCAGCGAGCTGACTTCACAGAGCCTTAGTTAAGTTGTCTGGCCCAATTTTCTACTTGATGCTTGACTAAGTATGTCCAAGGACAAGAACCTCAAGCCTTCTAACTGTACGGCTCACCTCTGGAGCTCTTAGACTTAGTGTGCTCTTCCGTGCTAGAGTCAGAGCCTATGCCCTGGTTACTCCCAGAAACAAGTCTAATCTACTTTCTCAAGCTCCGTCCCCCGCTTCAAATACAGTAGTGCTCTCATGGCAAGTCCCTACCGAGTCTTCCCCAGGCTACATATGTCTAGTTCCTTTAACCACCCCTAGAATGACAGGTGCTGAGTCCCATCACCATCTATTTGTCTACGTGCCTCTTAAAGGGCAGTGCCTAGAACGGAACACATTTATGTGCTTTTACCTGGGAAGCTTATAGTGGGGTGAGACCATCAACAGCTCCTTAGGTCCCCCCTTATGTGGTCACATGTAGCTTTGGACTTTTTTTTTTTTTTTAATCCTCACTCAAGGACATTTTTCCATTTTTTGTTCAGATAGAGCGGAGGGAGAGAGAGAGGGAGAGAGAGAGAAAGAAACATCGACGTGAAAGGGACACATCGAGTGGCTGCCACCTGCATGACCCAACCAGGGAAGGGGACAAACTGCAACCGAGGTACATGCCCTTAGCGGGAACCGAACCCAGGTCTCTCGGGACCGCAAGCTGATGCTCTAACCGCTGAGCCAAACCGGCCAGGGCTGGACTGTTTAATTTTAATGGATGTATTCAGAATTCTGTTTACTCATAGTGGGTTCTGTATTCAGATTGCCTAGGTTCAAACTCTGGCTTGCCCATTAACTGTCTGACTTCACCCAGCATTTCTAGGCCTCAGCGTCCTTATCTGTACAGGAGACAATAACAATACCTCCTTCATAAGGTTGTCTAAGTATGATAAGATACCTACATTGCCTATTCCCCCACCCCATATTTATATGGTTGGGTCCTCAAGTGGAAGACTTGTTATCTGTATTAATTTTATCCTGTTCTATTCTGGCCTCTCTGGATTTATGAAGCCTTACATTAGGCTATTATTTGTTCTTTCCCTTCATGGCTATCACTGACACATTTGGCAAATATGCCTCGTCATCCTTCATCTAAGTCGTTAGTAATGTTCGACTTGGCTGAGTGGAGATCCATTAGAAGTCTCTCTCCAGGGTGATGGCGACCCATTTTCCAGCACCTTATGGATATGGCATTCAATTAGTTGCAAGTCATCACGCAGAAGTTCCATCGAGCTCCTGGTCTTTTTATTGTTTCCATGAGAACAGGTCTGTTCAATTATTTGACATCCAGTATATCCATCATAAAGGGACCCTACTAGCTACTGCTCACAACACACCTGCTGGGTGAGGCCACATGACCCGGCACACTGGGACTAGCACCCATGTGGGCAGATGTAGACGCGCTGAGATCAGCAGCAGACCGGGAAGTAAACCCGGGCAGCCCTGCCCTCAGGCCCCGCATCTACTGGCACTGATGACATTAGTGACTGAACTTACTTTCGACGAATCCACGCTGGCTGTGGGCCCTTGGCTTCCTTTCCAAAATGCTCAGATATCATCTCTTTAGAAATCTTTCTAGAACCTTACACAGGTATAATATCAAGCTCTAAGCTCCACCAGCCTCTCTGGGGAATCTACCTTCTTTTACTCTGGCAAATTGGAGATGTATCTGTTGGCCTTCTGCTGTCCCTCCCAATTTCCTAATTCCTTAAGAAAAAAAATCACTGACAAATATTTGGCCACTCATTTAACTATCTCAGCACCTGGTCATTTGCGCTACAAATGTTGGACACATTCGGTGCCGGCGACTTTAACTCCCTTAAGGCAGCCCTGTTCCTGGGCTTTCCCCCAGGTTGAACTGCGCTTGTCTGCGCAGACTGCATTTTCTGGGGAAGTTGCCCAGGTCACATTCTCTAAGGAAAGCATGAACCATGGACCTGTTCTCCTTTCCCTCGTAAACGTACTCTCTGCAAAGAGGGCACGAGGCAGTCCCCCTTCCCTGCGCCTGCGCCCATGGAGTGAGGCCGGGGCGCCCCTGCCGGTCTTCCCCTGCGCTGACTCGCAGGGAGCTGCTTTAGGCAGAGGTGGGAGGCAGCTTTGGTCTGTATGCTGGGTCTATATCTCTCTCGTCCTGGTTTTGCCTCTTGTCTATTCTGTTTCTTGGACAACTCTCCTGAATAAGCTCTTCACTTTCCACGCAATCCGGAGCAGCTGAGATACAGATGCCAAGCCAGCTTCTCCCTGCTTTCCTAGGGCTCGTCCTTCGACTCCTGTGTTGTTTGTTAAGGTCTCCCTTCCTCAGGAAGGACGACCACGACTACCACCTGCTCTGCCCAATCTTCTCTCTGGCTACCATGACCTGACAGGGTTGCTTTACCCAGTGACTCCATCACCTTGGTGTGAATTTAATTCAAAGAAGCAACTCTAACTGAGATAAAATTATCAGCAAGGCCAATCAAGACTTTGTCAGACACTGGGAACCAAATGAGCACATTTCTCTTACCTCCTGGCCACTTCTGCCATCTGTGCCAGGAGCACGTCACCCGTGTCCCCAGGACTGGCGGCCCTGCTGCACTCTCCACACCACTGCCGCCCCTCTCCGTTCACCCTCCCGCTCCCAGAGAGCTGCCACTCTCAGGCTCCCCGCCTTCTTTCCACAGGAGTATCGCCTCTTCTTGACACCTGGTGCCACGCCTCCCTTCATAAGGGGCTGCTGCTTTGAATGGGCCACCCCTCCATCCCAGCATGAGTCCCACCCCACCGAGGGCAGTGATACCAAGGCATCACATTCACCACTCTGTGCTATCATCTTAAATTCATTTCACTCTGCTTTGTACGCTGACATACAAATATTTGAGGGCCTACACCTAAGGCTTCTGACATCCTTTTTAATGGTTTCAGGAAAATAAACCCCTGGACCTCTCACACTATTATTTTATTCTCATTCAATGTGAAACTCTGATGGCCAGGTTGCCAGGCTTTCATCCTATTTTAAGGGTGTTCATTCACTCTGAGGGACATATTTTATCCAGAAATCAAGGTCTGTGCTTACCTCAGGGGCTCTTAGTAATCATAAAATAGAACACTTACAAGAAAAGTGGCCACTTGTCATTGTAACAGTGTTCATGGTTTCTGAGCATAGCAGTCTGCAGGTTAGTACATTAAATTCTGATTATATTAAAATGGCAGTTCTAAACATTCACAGAAAAGGTCACACATTTTACATAAAGGAATGTAACACAAAGACTTCCTCTCACTGTGGAAACCACTGGTAAAGATTGCTGCTTTATTTATATACCTCAAACAGCACAGAACCATGCAATTCACAACAAAAATGTGCATGTTGTACAGTGGTACACTATGCATGTGTATTTAATTTAGACAAACATACAGCAGGGAGATAAGGCACACAGGGGAGAGGGTCTGCATAATAATTTGAATAGTGCAGATGATTCTGCTCCTCACCCCCGCCCCCACATTTAATATACAAGCTCTGGCACGAGCAGGAGATGGGAGACGTAAGTCCCTGTTCCCTTGGGCCTGAATAGAAGCCAAAGACTTCATCTGGTGCTTAGCCAAAGAAACTGATTGTATGTCCAACACAAGAGAAAAACCTGGTTGTTGTGTCTATTACTATACTTGATGGGTAATTTAACAGAAAAGTATACTCTGTTTTGGAGAAAGACAAAAAATTTAGAATCTAACTTTTCCACCCTTTTAAAGCTTTGACTCTATTTGTATACCTAAGTCACACCCACATATATAAGGGTGGGCAAAATCAGGTTTATAGTATTGTCCATATGAAAAATAATATAATCATTAATAAATAATACTAATACAAGAATAAACTCGTTTCAAGTACTCACAACCGTAAACCTACTTTTGCCCCACTCTGTATACAAACTGTCCCCTTTCTTCCCTCTAGGGGGCAGCAGTATATAGACAAGGAAGGTAGAGATGATCTAGGAAAAACAGCACACCTGTTAATGTGACTTGCAAGTATATTTAGAATTCTGTAGTTTTTATATATGTTACCTTGAATGTGGCAAATGCATCAGAAGCTATGTCAAAAGTTGACATTTCAACATATCTGAAGAAATCATAAAACTGTTCTGACCACAAAATGATTTTTGCAAGTGGTTCATGTCTGATGCACTCTCTTAACATTATTCCACAATTTAGAGCTATTTCAGGAGATTCATACCTGAAAAAAGAAAAAAACAAACATGATTATTCTTTTAAAACTTCAATACTGAACATTTCAAATTCTGAGAAAAGAAAGTTTCAGGAAGTATCCTGAGTGACCAGAGCAGGTTACAAAGGCATCTCTCTCGGAGCAGAACGTGTGCTCAGGTGAATTTCCCCTAGCGGGTACACACACGTTAGTTGATGAAGACTGCTTCAACCCAAAGAAAATAACCGCCATGAGAGTATCATGGGAATAAAAGTTCATTATTTAAGCTAAAATATTTGAAGAGAAGTATTTAGGGTCTCAACTCCAAACAGGGGTTAGTTTTATATGTGGGGTGCACTCAACACTTTAGAAAAACCAAAAGCTGAATCAAAAAACCATATGAAACAAACAAAATAGTTCCCTAAATTCACAGTATCTAAAAAGCTCTATCACATATACAGCATTTATACATCATTGTCTCAATTCAATACTCAAAATAGTACTTTCAAGACCCCTGGCAACACTAAGCCCCAGAGTTGAAAGCCTGGTCCTAAGGATGTCACAGTCAAGGAGAACCCTCAGGACTCTCGCGGTGGCACAGGGGACTCCACATGCAGCCTTCCCCTACACCCATCTCGGCGTCTCTAGAGTCTCCCTTCCCTGTGATCAGAAAGAAAACCTCATTTTCCTTTTAGTCCATGAGCCTTTTCTCTGCTGATACACACCAACCCCCTCCCTGCACTGGCTCTGCCATTCTGCTCAAACACATTGCTCAATTTCCCTCCACTTCCTTCCAAGCTGCACACACGGGTTTAATGTCTTTCCCACTCAGTCTCCTCCAGTCTCCTGCAGTCAAATTCCATTTCCAAACACCTTACCAGCAAAGACTCTCTTGGACAAATCAGCCTTTCTCCTAACACGGATTCTATCACTCAGTGTCCTGGTAGTGCTGCTCTTCGGCTCTAAAGAAAAAACTCTCAGTTCTCCTTTCTACCCCCTGACTGTTCCTACTGTTTGTCTGGCTGAGGTCCTTCCTCAACGGCCTTCAGCTGGCTAGTGAACACCCAATCTCCTGGCTCCCACCACGACTCCTACAAATCCACTGCTCAGATCCATGCTTAGGCATTTTCTGTCGTCTCTGGACAACTTCAATGAACGGTCTACTATAGACTCCACAGGTCTAAAATCAAATCAAATCTCAGCTCCCTCCACAAAGGAGGCTGCCACCTCTGCTTCCTCTTGTCTCTGAACTGGCATCACTATTTTGTTTTCGATCCCCGAGTCTGAAACAGGTCTGAGAGAACTTTCTGTGATAATGGAAATGTTCTGTAACTGTGCTGTCCATTATGGTAGCTACTAGCCACAAGTGGCCATTGAACACCTGCAATCTGGCTAAAATGACTAAAGGATTACATTTTTAAATATTTCATTTAAATTAATTTGAAAGTAAATAATTACATGGTTAGTAGGTACTGTATTGGACAACACAGCTTCAACCTTACCCTCATTTTTAAAAAACTGATTTTAGAGAGAGGAAGGGAGAGTAAGTGCACGAGAGAGAAACATCGGTTGGTTGGTTGCTTCTTGTGTGCCCCCTGACCAGGGACTGAATCCAAGACCCGTCAGTGCATGGGAGGACACTCCAACCAACTGAGCCACACCAGCCAGGGCCCAACCTGACGTTCTTATCTGCTCCCAGTCTTCCCGTCTCCAGTGCCACCAGTCCTTTCTAACTGCTCCTTCGGAATGTCTCAGCTCCAGTCCCTGTTCTCTGTTCCCACTGCTGCCTCAACGCACACCTAGAGAAGCAGAGGTGTCCCCAACAGTACCTGTGTCCAAGCTCTGTCTTACCAAATCGACCCCACACAGTATGTCAACAGCATTTCCAGCTCAGGAGTCGAAAATGGTTTCTTCTTGCTAATCAAATAAAGATAAACTTCTGGTCCTGATGTCTGTCTAGGCTTCCCCTCGTCAGAGCTGTTCTCTGGCCCAGCATCATCTCCCACTCTGCCATGACTGTCCCAACCAACTCCTTATTGTTGCCAATCGCTATGTTCATCTGTGTCCCTGTACCTACTCTTTTGTTTCTGCAAATTCTAAAGTACCTGAAATTTTACTCTTAAGTCCCATTTTTTACCAACCCTTTGCCTTACTGACTGAATCCACACATTTTATCCCCTAAAATCTTATAGTACTAATTGTTACCTAGTAGCATTACCCTTCTGTTGTACATAGGTTCACCACAGATCCTCAATAAGATCAAAACTACATTGCTTTGTATCATTTATGGTAAGGCAGCTAGATTGCTGATTGGCTCTCGGGTGATGAAAATCTCTGCTCAGAACATGGCATATCACAGGATTTATCTGCACTGATCTTTAGTGGAGACTAGAAAGACAAGGGTAAGAGTTCGGTACAACAAGTAGGGCAGGTTTCATTGCCGGTTTGTCAAGCCTATCTTCCCGATTAAACCATAAATCAGTGATTATAAGGGAAACAGTTATGCTGCACAACCTGTTAGCACTAGAGTGCAGAGCACATTAACATTTAAATCGCCAGAGAAGAAACTGCCTCCAGATGCAGTCCAACACCAGCAACGAGATCACTTTCTTTTTTTTTTTTTATCCTCACCCGAGGACATTTTTCCATTTTTGTTCAGTTAGAGTGGGAGGTAGAGAGAGGTAGAGAGAGAGAGAAACATCGACGTGAAAGGGACACATCGAGTGGTTGCCACCTGCATAACCCAACCAGGGCCAGGGACAAACTGCAACCGAGGTACATGCCCTGAGCAGGAACCAAACCCGCCTCTCTCTGGACCGCAGGCTGATGTTCTAACCACTGAGCCAAACCGGCCAGGGCAACATTACTTTCAAATGCCAACAGAGCAGCAGCAAAACTCCCCCAACAGCTATCATCAAAGTACTGATAGCCTGGGCAGATAACCACAATGCAGGAAAGTAGTCTGTCTAAACCAACTGACCAATAGAAGAACAATCCTAATAGGAAGTTCACAGGGCTCCATAAAGAAATGGCTATTTCCAGGTCCAAAAACAGAACCCACACAAAATGAGCACAGGACAGCATGTGCCAGAAAGCAGAAAAGCATCAAAGACTAATGCGATCTAGCTAAAAGGACACAGGAGCCAACTTGAAGGAGAGGAGCTGGCAATGGTCCAAGACGAGGAATTTGGACATGATAACTGAGATGGATTGAAACACATTAAGTCTATTTTTGAAAAACCAAAACTTTGAGTTCATAATGACCTGATCACCAATTTAAGAGACTAGAGGATAAAGAACATGTTAAATGAAACGACAAGGATGTATATTCAAAATATGGGATTTTTCCACACACACAAAATGACCCAGTGGCTTCAACAAATACATGGAGTATTTTAAAAAAGTGGTCATCAACTATTACAGACGAAAAGAGAGTTAAGAATCATATCAACCATATTCAGTTTGTGGGCTTTACTTGGAACCTGATTTGAACCAACTGAAGAAGTGACATTTGTGAAAATCAAGGAAATCTGAACACTGAGCATTAGATAAGGTTAGGTTTGTAAATGGTATTGTGACTATGTACAAAAATAAATCCTTAGATGTATCAGCTACTTGTTAGGGATGCAAACTGAAGTGGCGTGTGAGGAGGAGAAAGGGAGGAATACACGAAACGAGAGCAACACAGTTTAAGAAGTGCTGAGGCTGGCTGCCGAGGAAAGGGCTGGTTCTACTATCCCCTCCAGGCTGATGTGCATCTCCCACAGCACAGGCGAGAAAGGGCAGGGAGACGGGTCTGCGGGTCCCCACGGCAGCAGCATTCTCCACGCCTTCCTCTCCTTACTGCAGAGGTCTCTGCTCTGGCTAGCTCCAATGGACGAGAGCTTTAACCCTTTTCTTAAATGCTATCTTAATATTCTAACTTACATGATGTTTTAACAATGTTCCATTCATACCCCTGGCTACTCTAAAGGGAAAGTGTAGGTAGAGATAACAAATTTATAGATGTGAATAATGATGGCTTTCTATGGAAAAAAAAATTGACTTTAAATATACACAAAGGCTCCTGGAAGCTGCTTGAAGAACACTAAAGTTTTACACTACTCCTTATGTGTTTATACACTCAACTCTGGATTGACACGACAAAAAATTAGATGCCAAAAGTTCTGTATAGCAACGTCTAAAGAAGCAACACAGATAGTTAGAAATAGAAAAGAGGAAACAGAATGCTGGCATCCAACGCACGCACTGACTCATGCTTTGTCTAAGCAAGTCTGAACTTGAGGGACGTGTTAAACCAGAGATAGGACTCAAGTGAGGCAAGTGGTAGAGCGAGGGGTAGGAGAGCAAGCTGATTCACGCCAACCCTCATGCCAGTGAAGTGCCTGCCCGCCAATGTACCACCACCACCAATGCCGGGACACACACACCATACCCAGAGCCAGCAAACAACTCTGTGTGAAATGACAGGAGGCGACCTTGCCATCAGGGAGGTTGAATGATGGAGGAGAAGAGGATTTGTTTTGTTTTGAAGTTTAAGTTTTTAGGCATTTTGGGGTTTGTTTTTTTTGAAAGTGACAAACTACCCAGACACAAATGCCTGCTTAGTCCAGGAATTAATTCCAGGGAGATGCACTGTGATTTACCAAATTAGGTGGGTCAGTGAGTGGACACAGGTAGAAAGCAAAAGGTACTATTTCATCAACATGTGCTCTGCTGACTGACCGAGTTAAGCTACATAGCATCCATGCTCCACTTACTAGCTTTCCCTGCTTTACAGGGTGCATGTCTACCCAAAGATGTCTTTAAATATGTGATTTAACTGACATTTCATACGCTTAAACTTTTTCAATATTAGAGAACAGAAATAAGACCACAGAAGATGTTTTTTCTTCCGTCATGGATGATTTGAAAATTTAAAGACTCATGGATCACCTACCTTTAAACTTCCATGGGCATTTTTTTCAAATTCAATTTAGCTCAAAGGCTGAATTTTAAGGAGGGAAATATGTTCAAGATCTACAAAAAACCGAGCCGAGTGAACCGTAGAGAACACGCTTTCCCGCATTCCCCATCCTGTTCTTGCCCGAGACCATCTTTCCTTTTCATTTTTCAACTGAGAATATAAATGTTATTACATTGTACATACCCTTTCAATAACATGAACAAAATATTCTGTTGGGTGCAGATGTATTCAACAGTAGGAGTTCTTGTACCAATTTGTCTTCTGAGAATATTGTTGAAAATTTGAGCCACATCTTTTTTGCCCTATTAGGAATACAATCATTAAAATATTTACCTGACTAAACATCAAAAAGCCCATCCACCCTCCCAGATCAACTCAAATCAAGGCATTGCATATATATGACTGAATATAAAAGACCTTAAAACATTCATAGGCATTAAATTTTCTTACTTTATTTCTTTATAATTTCAAGTTCTAAGTTTTAACAGTACACTACTTTTAACCTGAGCAATGTGTTGACAAAGTAAAATCTCACTACACATAATTTCAACCATTTCTAACTCTCAGAATCATGCTCAGATAAGAAAACAAAACCCTGCTCTCTGCTTCCAGTGTCCAGGGATGGGACTCCCACCCAAACGGAACAGGCAGCTTAAGCAGGGTGCTCGTGTTGTAAACACGACACGCTCTTTCCTTACATAGGGCTGAAAGGAGAAAGTGTGTGCTGCCAATATGATAAAAATGAAAATTCCATAAGAAGCTGAGCTTTAATGGTAAGTAGACACATGCCCCTATTAAACTAGGTCTACTTGGAAAAGACTTTATACAGATTAACAATGAAGGTGCTAAGTATCACATGATGCAGTTCAGAGGCCAGAATTTCACTACTCTACTTGACTAAATGAAAGAGATGGACATTGCCACTCCACAGTGAAGCGGAAAAGCTGCATCAGAACGTAACAAATGCAGCATGGGACGCCAAGAGAGGTTTCAGAGTGGCCACTTGCTAAGAGGCTGACAAGCCTGTAGGAGACTGAGTGAACGAGCTTTCCAGTGCCAGAGATCAGCCTGGGGCCCCTGCTAGGTCAGGAGTTGTAATAGCAATCACTCAGAACCAGGTTCAAGGGCATACAGTCCTTTTACATTTGTGTCTCTAAAGTCCCAAATGAATATTAAATGCAGTGTCCAGGCTGGGGAATGGGATGGGTGGATAGAGAAGGAACTGAATGTTCCAGTGCATTCCCAACATTGCAGAGGAAATAAAAACTGTTGTTGAAATTTGATACACTATTAAAAATATATGAAATCAACTACATAAATGGAAATATCATAAGTTCTATTGGACAGAAATAAAACTTCATTCTCTTTTTATTATCAATATCATAATGAAGTAACCTGGGAACCCCCATCCTCATCTCCCTCCCCAAAATGGAATCTGCCTATATGCCTGTCATTTGCTCCCCTAATTTTTCAAGCACCTGCATAGACATCGAATCACGCAGGATGATGGACCCTGGGGCTTGATATAAAGCACACCCACAATAATGAATCAAAGATTCAGGACCATGCCGGAGCCCCTCCTTACCATATCGATATGCTTCTCAGAACGGTATCAAGGACCATTATTCTCACTATTCCCTGACTAAAATTCTAACAGTACAATCGGCTGTACAAGCCTGGGCTACACCCTCAAATGCCTACCAGAGCCAGGCAGGAGATGCAAATGGGCAGAGGCCCTAAGACAGAAAAGCAGGCTGCGCTGTCCGCCACACACCCGAGAGCAGCTCTCCTGCGTCACGGGTGGCTGCTCCTCCGCTCCGGCTGAGGGGCCGTGCAGGACTACAGGCCTGTTACCAGAGTCAGATTTTTCGAGAGAAACCAGAAATTCAAAATTGTGTATAACATCTCCTACCATTTAAATGACAACCTAATTTACACATTTAAAAGCAGTGCCAAACAAAACACTTATCTCTGCTGTAATGAATTCTCAGTAGGTAAGAACAAACCCCCAAAAAACAAAGAAAACATAACGGGACGTTCTCAAAGATCTCATTTACCTCTGACATTCTAACGTTCTATGGTTGTCTTCAGTATGTTTATTCCTTGAGAACCAAGGGCCAGTGAATTATGCAAAACAGCAGCTGTTCATGAAATACAACCTAAGTGAAAGGGCATAGCGAATACCTAAGAACTTCCTGTATGATGTGGTGAAATAAGGGAAGAAAACCTGGCCTAAGCCTGGGACACCCTTGAGTTCCTGCCCTGGCTCTGCTAGTGAGGAGGCAGCCTGGGCATGCTCACAGGTCAGCAACCCCTGAACGAAGAGCCGGGCAGGAATCTTCAGATGTTTCAAAGGAGGCACGTGGAAAAGGACTATGAGTAGGGTGCTGCTGGTGAAAACTAGGAGACCGATGTCTTACCTCAAAGTCAATGAGCTGCAGGTCTGCTACCAGGGTGCTCAGGAGCCCGCTGTTGTACAGTTCCTGAGCGAGCTGTGCCACTGCTTCCGTCTGCGGCTCTTTTTCATTGGTGCCATAGAGAATTTCTTTCATGGCAACCAGATTTTTGGAAACTTCTTCTGTGGCCTGATTTTGGGGGAGAGGAGAAAAACAATTAATTATAACAAACATATATAGCACACCTACATTTGTTAAATACCTTCATTATATATTGTAAACCCACAGACCTACGTACAAGAAACGAAAGTAGACAAGTGCCAGCTGCCCTCAGGAGCTTAACACTGCGCATGTGGGACACACGTGCGGACCAACACACAGGCTCAGCAGGGAAGACCAGCAGATTCACAACATGTACACTCGAACACTGAAGACAATATTATGATAGAAACAGAATGGGGAGAAAAGGTTCAATTGTGCATCAAATGCGTGGGAAACAACATGGACGAGGCAACTGAGCTGACCAGAGCCTGGAGACACTGACGAGCAAGGACTGGGGAAGAGGGGACGGAGGGGCAAGAACTGGCACGAGCAGGGACGAGGGAGGAAGAAGCACAGGGCCTGTCAGAGAAAAGGTGTGGCAAGAACATGAGAGTGGCAGCAGAAATGAAGCTGAAAGAGGCTCTGAATGCCAAGGTCAAATGTTGGCGATAAATGATGCATCACTAAAGACCTTCTACTTCTGGCCAAGATGGGGGAACAGGGGCCAGATTTTACCTTTCTCCATGAAAAAAAATAAACTAAAATACATGAGACAATTATGAAACAATAAATTCTAAACATCAAACTTCAGGCAGCACAGGACAGTGATTCCTGAGAGAAGGAAACAAATGAGGTGACCCTCACAACTGCCCAGTTGTGGCCCGGGGAGAGTTTCCGGAGGAAGCTCAGCGGAGAGGACAGAGCGGGGCCTGTGCGAGGCCGAGGAGGTGAGCACTGCGGGGCAAAGGACAGAGAGGGGAGAGCGACAGGGAGGACAGTGAGGCCTCGCTCGCCTCTCCAGCTCCACAGGGAGGGGCGCACGCGTGTGAGAACAGTGCCCAAGGCCAGGGAACACGACCACGGGGCTCACACAGGACGGCAACAGTTCTCGTTCCATCAGCCTGAGGGCCTCCTGTCCACAGGACAGGAGCAGAGCACTCTGCCTCAGTCATTACACGAAATTCGTCCTAGACTAAGCTCTATTCTGGTCCCACACAAAGTTTAACAGCAAGCTAGAAAAGGGTCAACACTGGAAAACACAACCAATAATGAGGAGAAAAAGCAATGATTAGAAACAGCCCTGCTAGTGACACAGGTGGCAGAATTAATAAACAAGAACGTTGAAAGTTACTATAACTAGAGCCAGTAGGTTCAGGAAAAAACAAACAGGTTAAGTAAAGGTATGGAAAACATTTTTTTAAAAAAAAAAAAGACCCAAATCAAATACTTAGAAATAAAACTACAATGTCTGAAATAAAAATTATAGCCCTGGCCAGTTTGGCTCAGTGGTAGAGCATGTGCCTGAGTCGTGGGTTCGATTCCGGTCAAGGGCACATACCTCGGTTGCCGTTCGTCCCCGGCCCTGGTTGGTCGTGTGGGTGGCAACCACTCGATGTGTCCCTTTCACGTCGATGTTTCTCTCTCTCTCTCTCTGTTCCTCTCTCTCCCTCCCACTCTACCCGAACAAAAAATGGAAAAGTGTCCTTGGGTGAGGATGATAAAAAAAAAAAAAAAAAATTACACTGGATAGAATTAATAGCAGATTAGACACTGCAGAAGAAATAGTTAGTAAACATAAAGCTAGAGCAATAAAAATTATCCAAAATGAAACCGAGAGAGGGAAAAAGATGGCACAGCAGTAGGCTACAGAATGACGATAAACTATCTAATACATGTGCAATTTCAGTCCCCAAAGAGGGGAGGAAAGACAAAATAAATGAAGACAAATGGCTGAAAAATTACCAAATTATTACCAGGGAGCCAATAAATTTTAAAAACCCTAAGAACAAGGAACAGAAAGAAAACTACACTAAGCCATGGAATAATCAAATTGCTTTAATTCAGTGAAGAGAAAATTTAAAAGCAACCAGAGGGAAAAAGAACATTAGAAAAAGAAAAAAAATCAAAGAATGACAACAGACTGCTTAATAGAAATGAAGTAAGTCAAAAGATAGTGGAGGAACACCATTAAAGTTCTAAGAAAAGACAAGGCACAACTGTCCTCTTACAATTTTACACCAAGTGGAAACATCATCCCAAAACAAAGCTGGATAAAGAGTTGTTGAGACACAGAAGCTGGAAGATTTTGTCACAAGGAAACCTGCACCATAGAAAATGTTTAAGGAAGTTCTATATGCAGAAGGAAAATGATTCAAGATGAAAATCTGCACATACACAAAGGAGACAGTAATATGGATAAATATAAAAGATTTCCCCCCATTACATTTTTTTAAATGTCTTTCAAAGATAATTGGCTGTTTAAAGCATAATTATGTGTTCTGAGGTTATAACACATGTAGGACAAAAATATGTGACAACAATAACTCAACAGTGGGTAATGGAGTATAGTGTTGTAAGGTTCTCACATATGAAGTAGAATAATATTTCTTGAAGAGAAGACTGCAGTAAGTTCAAGTTATATACTGTAAGTCCTAAAGGAACCAGTACAAAACAAAACAAAGAGTTACAGGTAATAACAAAAGAGACTCAAGTAGAATACTAAAGATAGGTGAAAAACGTAAAGGCTATAAAAAGCTATATAAACCGAAGTATTTGTGAATGGAAATGTACTTCAAGGAGATTAGTTAGCACAGATTCACAGGACATAAGCACGTTAGTACCTAAAGAATCATCTAGTTCCAGGGTACTCCCTTCTGCAACCGTCTGTCCTCCTCATCAAATGATCACATTGCTTCACCATAAGTATTTCCAGTATCTGCAGTATTAGCAGGTTTCAGAACCAGGCAGTTGTTAGAAAATTTTATGAGGCGAACACTGCCTCACTACAGTGTCTGTCAGTCCTGGGGCTGCAGTGCAGATCAGGCGGGGTCCTAACTGCTCTTCCACAGAAAGACCCCTCTTTGAAGGCAGCCTGCCTGTCTTCCCTAAATAGTCTTCTCCAGGAAACCTGTTTCTTATATGGCTAATGTTCCAGCCTTATCCAAAATGAAATGATAGAAGACATCAGATCACCACTTTCCTACAAATGTCACAAATGTTAACATAGCCCAAGGCTACCTTTAAGAATTTTTGCAATTATAGCATGTAATTCATTCAAAGCCAGATCTTTGAATGACAGAGCAATGAAGGCTTTAACTCCTCTCACTATTTAATTTAATTTCATTAACAGCCCATCATCAACATTGTGGAGGTATTTCTGGATCTGGAAGGACATCACTCTCCTGTTTGTGTCATCTGAAAATCTGATAGGTTTGCTCCCCATGGCCTCAATCATTAACCAAAATGCTGAAAAGGAAATAACCAGGAGGGGAGCCTATCATTATTTCCTTCAATCGTCACATTCTTTTCAGTAACAGTCTACTTACTAATAATCATTGGGCACAGCTGCTCAACCACTTACATGTATACTATTTCCAAATCACATTTAGGTGGCTTTTTTTAAATAATACTCTGATAAAATAAGAATAACCATTCTTTCCACATTTCCTGAATGTAAGAAAATGAAATCAAGTTAATTTGGTAAGACCTTTTATGTTAATTTCTATTACTTTCTATTCTAAGTGTTTATAAATTCTCCTCTAAATATAACAATCTCATTATGAAACCTTAATCAGTATCAATGTTAAGCAGAATCTTTACCTTTTCCAGTCTGCTGTTACTATCCTATTCTGCTAATGACTCAGATTTCTTACAGTTTATCATCCCACATACAAATTTTAGGTACCCTAGATTGTTCTTTTTCTGGTCCAGTAGATCAAATCATTTATCAAAGTAAATGTTCTCTTAAAATCTAATTACAAGTGTTGCTTTTTCAATTTCATTTTACTAATCTTCATTCTTAAGATGATTCTCTTTGACAGGGAAGAATCTGACAGTTAGGTTTTCGGAGTCTATTATCTGTTGACTTTATACCAGTGACCTAGTAGCAGGCCTCAGCCCCTTGCTCCTCTGGCTAGATCAAAGCGTTGAGGCAACAGCAATCCTTCAGGCCTCACTTTATATTCTTCTTTGAAATCATGGTATGATTTAAAATCTGAATTCATACCATATTCTATGCTCTCTTCTGATAGCAAAAGATGAATATGAAGGGGGGGGCAGGTGATGGTGATAGCTAAAGGATATGAGGTTTCTTTTGGAGGTGATGAACTGTTTTAAAATTGACTGTGGTTATGGCTGCACATTATCTGTGAATAAACTAAAAACCACTGAATTATACACTATAACTGGGTGAATTATATGATTTGAGTTATGTTTCAATAAAGCTGTTTAAAAAAATAGGGAAGGGAGAAGCAAGGAAATAGGAAGCCACTTAATGGTGATTCTGAGATGAAAGCCCACTGGGATTCACATGTAAAGGCCTCGTCTTCCCTTTCCGAAGACGACACTGTCACATGCGCTGCCGGTGGAGAGGAATGACAAATGGAATGCCCTCGTGTGCTATTATACTCATCTACAGCATCACCCCTCCCTGCTTCTGGACTCCACCCCTCCCCTGCCTCCGCAGGCACTCACCCTGTCTGTTATCTCATCTTCTAAGAGAGTCGACTCCCCTCGCACTCTATTTTTTCCCACGTCAGTTTTAAATATGATCAAGACTCCCATTAACAAAATCAAATAAACTCTCCCTTGACTCCATAACCCCTCCTAGCTACTGCCTCCCATAATTAAACCTCTCAGAACATCTACCTAGGTTTGCTTTAGTCCACATCTCTTTCCTATTCATTCTTCAGCCCAATCCGATGCGGCTTCTACACCTAGTACTTTACAGCTTTTAGTCAGTCACCAACGACCTGCCTGCCATTAAACACAATTTTCAGTCTTCATTCCATGTGAGCACTTGGCAGTATCTGCAGTTGTTGATTACACCCTTCTTCTAAACTGGCTCCTCCCTTGTCCTTTATGACTCATCACCACCCTAATTTTTTCCTTCCTGTCTCCCTGGTTGCTCCTCCTGTCTCCTTTTTGGC